TCCTCTTTCATTTCTTCACTTAATAACATTATTCATCACGTGTTAATTTCTTAATGATTTACGATTCACACACACACACACACACACACACACACACACACACACACACACACACACACACACACACACACACACACACACACACACACACACACACATGCCCTTAGATATGACAGAGCCCGATAGGCTCAGGAATCTGTACACCTGTTGATTGACGGTTGAGAGGCGGGACCAAAGAGCCAGAGCTCAACCCCCGCAAACACAACTAGGTGAGTACACACACACAAATCCATATACACATATGCTGGCAGACAAAAAGAGTTAATGGAGACATGATTACCACCTACAAAGTTCACAGAGGAATTGATAATAAGGACAGACTATTTAGCATGTGGTGGTGCACGAAGAAGACTCAGGTGGATTCTGAGTACCCAAATGAGCCAGAGACACTAGAAATACAAAAAAATCCATTTCAAAGTAATTAACCAATAGAATGCACAAGGAAGTGATGTGGTCGAGGCAAACCCCACAGTTTACAAACTCTATACACAGTTTCCAGTGTGGATAAGATAGAGCCCAATAGGCTCAAGAACCTGTTCACCAGTTGATTGAGAGTTTAGAGACGGGACCAAAGAGCTGAAGCTCATCCCCGCAAGCACAATTAGGTGAGTACACAGAGAAAAGGGGTGGGGAGGGGGGTGGAGACGGGGGGAACAGAGAAGGGCCGCAGTTAATACCTGGACCAGGACCGGAGAGGCTCGCTCGCCAGCCTACCTCACAAAGGCCTATAAGGCAGGTAACGGAGGGGGGGGGGGAGGAAGGGGGGAGGAGGGGAGGTAAGGATACTAAGGAACCTCACCATTCTGCCCTCCTAACTATCGCTGTGGTTCAGGTGTCCTGGTACCCGAATCACTGGCTTTCTCCTCCTTACTCCCTCTGGCGGCCGAGTTCTGGAATCTTGTGTCGTATAGTCTCGTTAATATCTCATTTGTATTTTCCCATTTAATATCATCTCTGTTTGCGATATAAATTTTTTGAGTGTCTACTCAGGTTACGTTACTAGAACATGTACTGTGAACATCAAATGTTCTTTAGGAAAATCAATGAGGAGGTTTTTAGGACACTACATACAAACGTGAGACAAGTCCTAGAGTATGCAGCGCCTTTGTAGAGTCTCCACCTCAAAAAAAAAAAAATAATAATTCACCAGAAACCTTTAAAAGCTATTAAGGTTTGCAACTCTGATCGCCCGGGACCTACGTGGAATCACGTATGAAGATAGGCTGGAGGGAATCGTTTTTATCATGTCAGAAAAGATGAGAAAGAGAGAAGAGACATGAGAGAGACATACAAAATATTTAATGGAATTCAGATGAAGGATTATTATAATTTTGGTTAAAAATAAAAATTGGGGTTTCTCTCAATGTACCCAGAGGCCGGGCTGATCATTGGATCTACACGATGGCAGACCTGCTCAGACCCGGTCGGCCGAGCGGACAGCACGCTGTACTTGTGATCCTGTGGTCCTGGGTTCGATCCCAGGCGCCGGCGAGAAGCAATGGGCAGAGTTTCTTTCACCCTATGCCCCTGTTACCTAGCAGTAAAATAGGTACATGGGTGTTAGTCAGCTGTCACGGGCTGCTTCCTGGGGGCGGAGGCCTGATCGAGGACCGGGCCGCGGGGACACTTAAAAAAAAGCCCCGAAATCATCTCAAGATAACTTCAAGATAACCCTTAATAAGTTACCCAAATTGTCCCCATACCTATCTTTTTCCGACTGTTGTTATCATCATCACTATAGTCGTCTAAGGTATCAGTATGACTTCAAAAGCTGTCAATAGTTTGGCTCTATTTTACATATGGAGTAACTAGGAACAGAATAGCTGAAAGAATATAAGTAAAAATTGTTCAGAGACTGAGTCCTATACCTCAATTATTTGGTTGTCATACCCGCCAGAGGGTATGGATATCCCAGAGTTATGCGCCCAACAACTAATTAAATCCCCAAATGTTTATGTTATTCAATATCTCTAAAAGCACAGTTTATAGATACTTTTTCCTAGAAAACCAGAGCATCCACAGGCAATAGATAATATGTACAAGGTAGAAGGAAAGAACATATAAAAAATCTGTGAAAAGTACCCATATTCGATCCATGGTGTTACACAGTGTACTAACTGGAACCAAAATTATATTTCCATAAAGAAACTATCTGCCAAGTTTATAATTCACAGACGTACATTTTTGACCAGTCCTGATCTCCTCAGTCTCTAGACTCCTTCCTGATGCACACACCTGGTGTGAATACACACCTGTATACACACCTGTATACACACCTGTATACACACCTGATGCCGGACCAGTCAACACTAGCAAAGATTTTAACAAAAGGAGACAGCTCTCAGTACAGAGGAAAAGCTGGAGCATTGCCCTCACCTTAACTTCAGGTGAGAGGAAAAATGGTAGACATGATAACGATATATAAGATTATGAGGTAAATATAGAAAAGTAGACAGAGAAACAATGTTTTACATGAGCAATCGATCATTGACGGACACTTGACCAGCAAATGAGTCAGATTTCGTCAAGAAATCCGTGTCGGAGTTGCATATAAACTTAGAAGCTTAGCTGGAGTGATTGAGGCACTTTAAGATGAGTGTGTGTAGATGAGTGCACTTGCACATGACGTTTCCTCACAAGTGACATAACAGTTGCGCGCTGCGTTACGTAACGAAACTCGGCAACAGCAGCAAATTGCAATAAATTCGCATATTGCTGCCAGCGTGGGAAAAGGTGCGGGGAGTTGTCGTGACTCAACGCTAGCGCATGTCTTACTGACAGACACATACACCTGTATGTGCACACCGACATACATACACAGATACACGTATATACTCAGCACACGCACATATGCACAGCAAACACAGACATACACAAACACATATACGAACATCCATTCGCAACCACACAGCAAACCAAAGAGAGAGGCGGGACCAAAAAGCCAAAGCTCAACCCCCGCAAGCACAACTAGGTGAGTACAACTAGATGAGTACACACACACACACACACACTCGCTTTCCCTTGATAATTTCCTCTCTCATTCATTCAGAGACATTTAGGTACAATTTTAAATAAAGATGTAAATGTAACGGAGAGAAGTACTAGGTGGGACCTGATCACAGCATACAAAATATTCGGCTGAATATACAATATACTAGGTCAGCCTTTTTTTAATTGAGAAGAAACAAGACAATGAGACTATAGATGGAAGTTGGAAACGTAAATATGTTAGAGGAACTTATGGAAGTACTCTTAAGCTGTACGGATCAGCAACCGAAATTCACTGAGAGAGCAATTCCGTGAGGTAACTTTCATGCACAACAAGAAGAAAAACACAACACAGAAGAAGACTGTCCAGAAAACTATGCCTCACTGGGGTAGAAACAGCTTAGAGGTTTGGCCTAAACACAGGTGAGAAAGCAACAATATGCAAGCACATATACATACACATATTGACGGGATGAAAACATTCTTCTGGAATCTAGATCAGGAGCCAATCAGAACTCTGCACCATCTGCACTACGAGGCCTGACGGCTGAGTGGACAGCGCTCGGGATTCGTAGTCCTGAGGTTCCGGCTTCGAACCCCGGCAGAGGCGAAAACAAATGGGCAGAGTTTCTTTCACCCCGATGTCCCTTCTCGCTTAGTAGTAAATAGGTACCTGGGAGCTAAACAGCTGCTACGGGCTGCTTCCTGCGGATGTGTAACAAAAAGGCGGCCTGGTCGAGGACCGGGCCGCGGGGACGCTAAGCCCCAAAATCATCTCAAGATAACTTCAAGAACAAGATCTGTCGGCATTGTGATATACATCACCATAGAATCCCCTAGCTATCACAAGTATGATGCCAGGCGTGAGATAACGGAGTTTACCACATAAAGCGAGAAGCAGCAGTTGTGGTGTGATGTAAACTTGTAACACAATAACACAGAGTGGCCAAGGAGAGGATTACACACAGAAATCACATTAGCGTGATGCATCACGCTATTGGCCTATTGACATAGCTTGAGTGCATGGGGGGAATTGTGTAAAATCCTGGTTTGAGTCTCGGAGAGGCTGCAGGATCCAAGTAAGTTCAGTAGAATTTCTGGTTGCAATTCTTATACCATGTCGTAGCTCAGTTGATTAAGACAGCATCAGGGATGCTCTCAGACGCAGGTTCGAATCCTCGTCACGGCCCTTGTGGATTTGTTCAAGGAGAGGATGTTTATCACGTTTCTCAAGACCAAGATGGAGGCTAAAAACGTGGGCGAGTCTTAGGATCATTTAATAGATTTTTCTGTGTGAGGGCATGGCTCACGTGAAGCGAGGTAGAGAGGCTAAGTCTATTCATTACTTTAAATATTATAGTGTCGGGAATCCTTTTTCAGATATCCGGTAAAGCAATCTATTTGCTTTAATTGTAAAGAGATAAATTAGACATGAAGATGAAAACGAACTATTTCTTTAATCATTTATTTCTGGTAAAATTGTTGGCTTCAGTAACGACTGTTAACCTTATGTATAAAATGTAAACGTATTTATATAAAAAAAGTTCAAAACCTATAATATTTTACTAAAGGGTGTATTATAAATATATAAAATATATATTTATATATAAGTCTTATATATAAGACTCATGTATATATATAAAGTCAGCCCCATCCCAAATATAGGCGATCAAATGCTGTATGAAATTCTCTGTGTTTTAGTAAGTTATGATGCTCATACGAGACACCATGATGCTCGAAATCATGTATAAAAACGTAATTATTTGTCTCTTTGGACGACATATTTATATATTCAAACAGTTTAGTGCAGTCTTCGAACATTTTTGTTCTTGTTGACTTGTGTGGTGTAAATTATACACATTTGTCACAGTTTTGTATTTTTATAATTTGTTAGAAAAAGTAATTGATTATACTACATAAATATTGTTCTGATGATAAGAAATTATATTGCAATCTTTCAATACATTTATTAAACAAGATATAAATACAAATTATAAATTAATCTAATATCCAAAACAAACATGAGTTATAAATTACGTAAAGTTTTAGAGAAAATCTGAATAACCTCAAAAAACAGAGAACCAAAAATATAGACGAGGAATTTAGCTGTTCGTTGGAGGAGAAGAATGATCAAAGAAGAGACAGTCAAGAAGATCCTTCGGCCTGCGAGGAGACGTCTGTCATAGTCAGGAAACAAAACCTTAAAGAAAAATGTTCTATAGACAAGCTCTTTTAAATTTCTTAAAAGAATTACCCTATTTATTTTATATATGTTTAAGAAATAGAAACATTATTTGAGAGAGTTAAAATCCAGGTTAAATTTATCTTTTCGCGGACATAAGCTGGATAATGTTTATACTAAAAGAGGATTTATAACTGAATTTCACTGGGCATCATATCTGACCGAAAATGTATTTAAGAATTAAATCGAGAGAAGCCCGTACTGATGACGATAGACCAGAGACTCTACTGGAGAGAGATGATGCCGGATGCCTTGTGGTACTGGAGAGGGATGATGCCGGATGCCTTGTGGAACTGGAGAGGGATGACGCCGGATGTCTTGTGGTACTGGAGAGGGATGATGCCAGATGCCTTGTGGTACTGGAGAGAGATGAAGCCGGATGTCTTGGGGTACTAGAAAGGGATGATGCCGGATGCCTTGTGGTACTGGAGAGGGATGATGCCGGATGCCTTGTGGTACTGGAGAGGGATGATGCCGAATGCCTTGTGGTACTGGAGAGGGATGATGCCGGATGCCTTGTGGTACTGGAGAGGGATGACGCCGGATGTCTTGTGGTACTGGAGAGAGATGAAGCCGGATGTCTTGTGGTACTGGAGAGAGATGATGCCGAATGCCTTGTGGAGAGAGATAATGCTTCGATACCTTCAGAAGAGATGATACCATATGGAGACAAAAGATGCCTAGGCGCATTCTGAAGAGAGGATGCTGGATTCCTTCCGGAGAAAGATGATACTGGATGCCTTATGAAAAAATTATGCTACGTTGTTTTCTGAAGAAAGATGATACCTGGATGTCTTCTAGTCAGAGAAGATGCCTTTTTATTTTGTCTTGTGAAGAGAGAAAATGTCTCGGTGCCTTATGGACAGAAATGATTTCTTGCCTTATTGAAGACAAGTGAGGCCTGGGTGCCATCTGGACATGACACCTGGAGAAAACAAAGTCTTCACTCCTGCTTCTCATACTTCTCCACGGCCTGAAGGATGGCTTCCAGGATGGGTGAGACCGTCTCCAAGGATCTGAAGGTCATAAAACGTAAATCTTTTACAACACAGACATAAATGTAATTGTTTTGATACATAGTTACACACTAATGTACCTAAACATCCAAATTATATGATTCCTTTTAAGAAAGGCAAAGTGAATCAGAGATGTGTAGAACACAATTAGGTCGTGTGTGCAGAAAATCACCAAAATGACAGTGAATTGGGCAACGTTGATTTTTGGTTGAAATCTGAATTAAATTTCAAGACGAGAAATGGGATATCACATTTGGTTTATATGACACTTGTACGTTAAAATTTTAGATAAAATTAACCTCATCTGGCATACTGACCATTTCCCTGGCTCACAGACGTAACGTATTCTGTATTAAATACAATCACCTTTCAAGCAAAATACTTTTTCTCTGCTTTGAATTCCATTTTGTACTATTTTTCACAAATTTGCTCTCTATATTTTTTTTTTTAGTTTTTAATCTAAAATTTGTCGAAGTTATTGCACACGTCAGATCGTCAATATTATTTTGAAAACAAAATGGAGGATTCAGAGTCTGCTAGGACAACCCTTGATAAATCAGAGGTCAGTCAGAACGACGTACTACAGTGGCTGCGTAACATTCTACATAACATTCATAACATTCTACATAACACAGAGGACACGCTGCTCAGTGATATTCACTGTCAACTAATGCTTAAATGTGATGCGTCTGATAACGTGGGCATCCGATATACTTAATGCTTAATGCTATATAGCCTAATGCAGATCTAGAGCATTATACTGCTTAATGCAGATCTGCTCTTCCCATTATGCTAGATTAGCATAATGGGAAGTGCATCATATTATCATTAATGAGGGTTTTTGCTAAACAGAAGCTTTATTTGTGAGACAAAACTTAAAACGTTCATGAAATGAAGGTTCAAATATAAAAGTTTTTCTGCCGTAATGTGGATTATCTTGAATTAACATTCATTTGTTCACTGCTCAGTTCATAACCAACGCAAAACACTGCAGCGGGGACGATTCACTTACCTAGATTCGATCAGGTTGGAGAACCCAAGCTCGTCCCTCATGTCCCAGGCGTTGCTGGCGAGCTGGGCGATGTGAGGCGTCATCATGAGGGACCTCCTGGTGGAGGTGGAGGCCAGGGCGTACACCAGGAGGTCGTACATCAGGATGGCCCCAGCGATCACCAGGAGAATCGCCGCGACGGTCGTCAGGTCAAGGGACGTAAAAGCCTCGTTCAGCTGGCCCTTGAAGACATCGAGGCTGGAGGAGAGGTTGGAGAACATGGCGGTGACTTCTTCAGGCACGGCGGGCAGGGAAGGCATGATGATGGAGGAGGTTTGGGTAGTGGTGCGAGGTGCGTGGCCTGGGAGTCGCTGGGGTGGACTGATGACTCCAGAGCGCCTGCTGTCCGTCATATACCTCACCGCTTGACGGTGAAAGTGAAAGGTAAGGGAGGGGGGAGAAGAGGCTAGGTAAGGGGGCTCGAGAATTGGGACGTTCTGGGACTAGATCCGGATAGTACAGGAGAGGCAAAAGGGAGAAGGACAGTAAATTGTTGGTTTTAAGGATCCGGGATGGCCTAGAGGGCAAGGATTGAAAAAACACAGAAAAATGTAAACAACATTTATTAAAGTGTATGATAATTTTGCGTGCATATTTTTAATTTAACATAATGTGTGTAGTGTGTAATATTTCGTTTTAATCAGTCAGAACTAACGTAGTAACATTACCTGATATCAATTTGGCTATCATTTACAAATTCTGGCTAGCATTGGTAAAACTATGCCCAATCTTGTATTAATGATAAGGAACATGATCTATTATTTTTATCCATATTCGGATAAATTCCATAAAAAGTGTTGTATTTCTTAGGTAGTGTTGCGGAATTCCCTTTAAATTACTTTTGTTTTCGAAAAATAAAAATACTTATGCATTGATACATTTAATTCAACACCTATAATATGTATTTTGTATACTTTAAACCGAAAGCACCTTAGCAGTCGAGCTTTAGCATAATATACATGAAGGATGAGAATAGGTGAAGTCATAGAAAGTCGAGAGGATTGGCCAGTCTTGCCCTGCATTCCCAATCTTCAGCTGAGGTAGATGGTGTGATGTGACCCAGTGGTAGTACCATCATAGCATTGTTGATGAGGTTGGAAGTAAGGCTTTGATATATAGTGCTTCAGCTATGTCAAATCTCCAATTTTGATTGTGAAGGGCCTTGTTGTGTGTAGATATTAAGTGATCTCTGAGAAACCTCCCTTAGTGTTCAAATAACAAGGGCCCAGATTCACGAAGCAGTTACGCAAGCACTTACGAACATGTACATCTTTTCTCAATCTTTGACGGCTTTGGTTACATTTATTAAACAGTTTACAAGCAAACAAACTTCCCAATCAACTGTTGTTATTGTTATAAACAGCCTCCTGGTGCCTCAGAGCTCATTAACTGTTTAATAATTGTAAACAAAGCCGTCAAAGATTGAGAAAAGATGTAGAGGTTCGTAAGTGCTTGCGTAACTGCTTCGTGAATCTGACTCCAGGCTAGCAAGATAAACCTCGCTGCAGGGTCTTCGGGAACTCGTGTGGATTCATCATACCCGCACAGTCCAGTCATCACATTTGTAACCATCGACTCAACATTCAGAGTTCAAAAGCACGTGACATTTCCACGTTGTTGGCCTAATAAGTTCCCATGAGAGGGCCTCCAGCTCGCCATGATGAAGCTGTGGAGGTGCTGGCGCGCTTACAATCAAGCTGGTGGCGTAATGGGTTACGCATACGGGTCTCTGTCGCAGCCGGAGCCACTGGCTGATTGGTGGACGCTCATCCCAAGCTTGTCATCCAATGGCGTGTTGAAACATGTCATGGCACTGACCTTGATTACTCATTAATGCTGCAATGTGTGGGTCACATCGTTGACCACAGTCGCAGTCCGCCACGTGAATGTGTGAATATAGGAAATTGCAGCAAGGGGCGTCTAACTTGGTAAGGTTTGGCGCCCTTTCTGTAGGTCCTGCCGGCCAGGCTGGCCACACCGCCGCCCCCGCCAACAACAGCGTCGTTCACATCTTGCCCTGCCATGCCCCGACTTCCGCACCCAAACACTCCGGGCACACCAAGAGGACAACACTCCGAGCACATCAAGAGGACAATACTCTGGGAACAATCATCAAGCAGCAGTAAAGATAATCTCACAACATTGGGCTACTTCTGTCAATTGCTTCGACAGCAAAACAAGCGAAAGTATTTTATGTTGCTCACACAGCCACACACGGCCTGAGTTACGAGAGCGTGGGCTGTGCTCATCTGTTGAGAGGGAATTAGTGTACACATGAACCTCCTCCTCCCCCTCCCCCCCCCAAAAAAAAAAGTTTCTACATAGCATCGGACACATCCTAAAGTTCCCGTACTATGAACACATTTCACACACACACACACAAAAAAAAAAAAAACTGGTAACATCTGGAGAGAAGGGACTTCGTGATAAATCGCCAACATGGGTTCAGGGAGGGTAAATCTTGCCTGTCTGGCTTAATAGAATTCTACGACCAGGTGACAAAGATTAAGCAAGAAAGAGAAAGCTGGGCGGACTGCATTTTCTTAGATTGTTGGAAAGCCTTTGACACAGTACCGCATAAGAGGCTGGTACATAAGCTGGAGAGACAGGCAGGTGTAGCTGGTAAGGTGCTCCAGTGGATAAGGGAGTACCTAAGCAATAGGAAGCAGAGAGTTACGGTGAGGGGTGAGACCTCCGATTGGCGTGAAATCACCAGTGGAGTCCCACAGGGCTATGTACTCGGTCCTATCTTGTTTCTGATATATGTAAATGATCTCCCGGAGGGTATCGATTCATTTCTCTCAATGTTTGCGGACGATGCCAAAATTATGAGAATGATTAAGACAGAGGAGGACTGCTTGAGGCTTGAAGAAGACCTAGACAAGCTGAAGGAATGGTCAAACAAATGGTTGTTAGAGTTTAACCCAAGCAAATGTAATGTAATGAAGATAGGTGTAGGGAGCAGGAGGCCAGATACAAGGTATCATCTGGGAGATGAAATTCTTCAAGAGCCAGAGAAAGAAAAAGACTTGGGGGTTGATATAATCCCAGACCTGTCTCCAGCTGTCCATATCAAGAGGATAACATCAGCGGCATATGCCAGGATGGCCAACATAAGAACGGCATTCAGAAACTTGTGTAAGGAATCATTCAGAATTTTGTATACCACATATGTCAGGCCAATCCTGGAGTATGCAGCCCCAGCATGGAGTCCATATCTAATCAATGATAAGACTAAACTGGAAAAGGTTCAAAGGTTTGCCACCAGACTAGTACCCGAGCTGAGAGGTATGAGGAGAGACTACGGGAATTAAACCTCACTTCGCTGGAAGACAGAAGAGTTAGGGGGACATGATCACAACATTCAAGATTCTCAAGGGAATTGATGGGGTAGATAAAGACAGTCTATTTAACACAAGGGGCACACGCTCTAGGGGACACAGGTGGAAATTGAGTGCCCAAATGAGCCACAGAGATATTAGAAAGAATTTTTTTTAGTGTCAGAGTGGTTGACAAATGGAATGCATTAGGAAGTGATGTGGTGGAGGCTGACTCCATACACAGTTTCAAGTGTAGACATGATAGAGCCCAATAGGCTCAGGAACCTGTACACTTGTTGATTGACGGTTGAGAGGCGGGACCAAAGAACCAGAGCTCAACCCCCGCAAACACAATTAGGTGAGTACACACACACATACACACACACGCGCGCGCAGTTTCAAATGGTTACAAATACACGGTTTCAAATGTAGATTTGATTGAGCCCAATAGGCTCCAGAATCTGTAAACCACTTGATTAGTTGATTAACAGTGGAGAGGCAGGACAAAACAATCAAAGATCACCCCGCAAACGCAACTAGGTGAGTACACACACGCACTCTTTTATAAATATATAAATAAATAATGTACAAGAAGGTCGAACACTGAGGAGCGAAAGAATAGAATGGAGGGATGAGAGGGAATAGACATGGGTGAAAGGAAAGAGTGGAGAACGTAAGAGAATAGAGGAGCAGCCGAGCACAAGCACTAGGAATAAAAGGCCACAATCCCCCTCAGTGATTATTTATGTTGAAGCCAGGGAACCATTAGAGAGGAAGCATCGCAAAACATAGGCCCCCTCCCCCCCCCGGTAGTAATTCTGGGTTCGGACCCCGGGCGGAACAGAAATGGTTGGCCACATTTCCTTTCACCTAATGCTTCTGTTCACCTAGCATTGAGCAGGTACTGAGGAGTTAGTCAGCATGTTGTGGGGGGTTGCATTCTGGCTTCATGTCCCTCGATACATTGAATTATTAAAAAATTAGTGTATTAAAACATTTATCATAAACAAAGTGAAAGTTTTGTAATGTACAGTGGGAAAAACGAACCTTTGGTAGAGGGAACCTTTATGAAAGGAACATGCAGGCTATGGGAAGGTGAACAGGGTGGGAAATGGGTTGTTGCAGGTTGCAAGAACTCCTCGTTAACCAACCATGGTGAAGGTCGAGGTGATCAGCACTTCTTTTGGGGTTGTAGACAGTCAGGATGAGGATTCCTTTACCTTATAACCTTCCTATCTTCCTTCTCCTCCTCTTCATCCACCACCGGGTAGAGTGATGAGAGAAGAGAGATAGAAAGCGCATAGCAAGATGAGAGATGAGGAAGAGGAATGAGAGAGAGAGAGAGAGAGAGAGAGAGAGAGAGAGAGAGAGAGAGAGAGAGAGAGAGAGAGATAAACAGAGGCGCATGAACGGAGGGATATTGGATTATAAAAGAATTATCCCTGCTTGTATTTTCAACAGAAATAATCACAGCACATAAACCGACTTCAAGGACACCACAGCATGCGTAAGGCCAATCAAAACCATTTTCCAAGAGTTGTATACAAGCTAGCAAAGTGTTCATTGTTAATAACTTACTTTCGTTGTTCAGAACTGATGTGCCATTTGACTGAGTTAATGATTCAGATGCATCCGTAATTTTGTCAATTTTGGGGTCATATTGAGTAATGCCTTCATATTAGTAGTCCTGTTATTACTTGTGGAGAAATACGTGTATGACTGATGCGATCTTTGGAAAACAAATATTTATATATAAACAAGGGACAACATAATATTGGTAGGTTAAACAAAAATGTTTAAAACAGAAACTATCACTCAGAGGTAATGGGACAGTGAAAGAGAAAGCTTAATGATGGGAAGGTCAAGTCAGTGGGTGATGGGCCATAGTGAGAGAAAGGAAGGGAGAGACGAAGGGAGGGAGAGAGGAAGGAAGGGAGAGAGAGAGGGAGGGAGGGAGGGAGGGAGGGAGGGAAACACGAGGCTGAGTGAGGTCAAGCCTGAAGCCTCGCTGCAGGGATAGGGACAGAAAGGATGGATGCTCAAAATGGGCTGTTTGGGATATGCTGAGGAATGTGAGACTCTTGGTGCGTGGAGCTGGGTATGAAAGCAATGGTTATGATTAACAAATGGCTGAAAGGAAACCAGCACAGTCGATCACTATCGAAAAAATCCTGGGTTCGATTAACACTGCTTGACCAAGACAATAATTGCAGCTCTTGACCTTTAATCAACACGTGAGTAAAGCCGCGGCTTCACACACTCGTATGTAGTGAAGTGATACGACTGAGACATATTGACGCCAAATCTTGAAGCAGCTCCTAAAGATTGTTGGAAACTCCAGCACTATAACTGCATGAAGAACTACAGGAGATTGTGCAAATGCTTCCAATCAGTTACCAGTACAACGCTCTTTGTCACTGTTCTACGTAACATAGTGTAAAGCGACCTCAAGCGTAATATAGACATAGGTGAATGAGTTTAGGTACAAGCAGAATTAAGCTACCTTGCATGAGCCAACATATCTTCAGTAGTTGAGTTTACTTTTGAATTCTTAAATAGATCGAGATCGGAAAAGTGGTGCAGAGATGCAGTCACACGAGGCACAATACTAAAAATATTAGTATATTTTGGTAGCAGTCTTTCTTGTAAACATATGTTTTTAAATATTACCGAAAAAGTAAGATTAATAATTCTAACACGAATTTTCTCAATATTTCTTATGTTCCTTTTTACTGTCGATGGTAATTGAAAAATCAGTTCTCCAAAATTCATTTTTATTTCAAGTCTATAATACTAAAAATATAAATATTTGTTTTAATTTACCACGCGTGTCCATTACCAGGCACGGGGTCCATAGCACAAGACTACCACAGCCCAGGTGAATGGTACAATACTTTCTGCCCGAAACGCTATGCTTGTTAGTGGCTTTACCAGAGTGTAAGGACACCAATGTTACATACTCTCTCAACCCAATGGATCTTCTTGTATATAGATAAACCGACAAATAATTAAGTACATAAATAAATCAAATAAATGGTCCCACGAGGTACCGCCAAGATTACTATAAAATTAACTGTGAGCACTTCACTAACGACCTAGGGTACCCCTTGGAAGGGGGTACCCTACGGTTTCCCTTCCCTCGCGAGTGCGATCTTATCTTGAGGTTATCTTGAGATGATTTCGGGGCTTAGCGTCCCCGCGACCCGGTCCTCGACCAGGCCTCCTTTTTGTTACACCACCCTAGGAAGCAGCCCGTAGCAGCTGCCTAACTCCCAGGTACCTATTTACTGCTAGGTAACAGGGGCGGCATCAGAGTGAAAGAAACATTTTGCCCATTTGTCTCCGCCTCCACAGGGGATCGAACCCGAAACCTCAGGACTACGAATCCCAAGCGCTGTCCACCTAGCTGTCAGGTTCCCCCCTTTTGCGACGTGGGAACGCAGGTACCAGAACAAAAGAACACGCCAACGCCTCGAAGAACAGCTTGAGGTTACTTTATCTTGTTAATAAGAATAATAAATCCCGGAATACACTGCGAGAGAGAGAAATTTAGTCTCCGGTGAACGACATACATTCATTTATGACCCAAAGAGATGGTGCAATATATTTGTTTGTTTCAATGTTGACATTTCAGTTAATTCACTCATAATGTTCAGTTACATCGAGTATTTGTGATGTGTAAAAATATATGAATACGTTGTCTTGAACGACGTTTGTGATGTGTATAAATATATATATGAATACGTACTGAATAAGGTGTGAATAACTTGAACTTCTTCATCTCTTTGAATGTATTTATATCTTACAAAACTTATTTCGCTCTCAGTTTAAATTCAGTTCATTCTCAGAAGACACCAGTGATTAAGAAAAAGGAAATCTTATTTGTGATGAAGGTAAAAAGAGGTTTATTACTAGCCCTCTCTAGCTCGCCCCCTTTGACAGTTGTAAATGTGACCGTGAGAGAGGGCAAAGGAGGAATTGGGAAGCGAAAGAATAGGAGCAAACGAGACGATTAAAAAGAAATATTGACAATGAAGAAATGGACAAAATATTTATATTCTTTAAGAATACTTTTTAAGCATTTTATTTGACTTATTTCTTTACATCATATAAAATCCTCGCGTCAGTTGGACCACGAATATCTCTATCCACCCCATGCACAGGATTTTTGTTTCAACAAATTTTGTAATTAGCACATCAATGTCATATCTTGTTTAGCTAAATGAATTTTTGGGTTTAATTCTTGAGCCCATTATATGCCTCTGTAACCCACTCTGCCTCTGTAACCCACTCTAAGGCGGGAGTGGGATCCACTGCGATTCACTGGATTGGTATGGGGTCTACTACCACTCTCAGAATGGATATGGGCTCCGATATCACTCAAAGATTGCTTAAAAGGGGCACCACTATCACTATAATATGCATAAGATGCATAGTTAATGAACTAAATCATGTTGACCAAGCCACACACTAAAAAGTGAAGGGACGACGACGTTTCGAAATCGACTTGAGTATGGTCCAGGACGGACCGAAACGTCGTCGTCCCTTCACTTTCTAGTGTGTGGTTTGGTCAACATATTTCAGTCACGTTATTGTGACTCCTCGTCTGCAACTAAACCATCTCACCAAAGGCAGTGATGGGAACACAACTGGCTACTCGTCAAACCTATTGTCTTCGAGTCATACGTTCGACCGCTGGGTTGTGTTAGTGGGAGAAAGAATGGGGGAAGAAAATGGGTGTCGGAAATATAGAAAATGGGGAGGGGGGTTAAGACTGGAGGAGGAAATGGTGGTGCCGGTGTGGGATTTTTTAGGGTGTTGATAAACCCCCATGTTTTGTGCTGTAAGAGCATTTGAGCGTATGATAACATATTTAACGCTCTGATATCAGGTAAAATGAATATTGTTAACCCTCATCAAACCTAATGTAACTCAGCCACTTAATTTGCGATTACCAATTTACATATCCAAACCTAATCTGTCCACTTAATCAAACGAATTCAATACACTTAAGCAATCCTAACTGCACAATTTACACGGGAGACATCTCCCGTCACGCAGGGTGCAGTCGCACCTCCACAGATCTCCAGTATCAGCTCTTGATACTGGTATTGGCTCAATAGGGCCACCACTTACGGGCTATTCATGCCCGTGCCACCTTTTGGGTGGCTTAATCTTTATCAATCAATCATCTGAACAATTTAACCCAATTCAACTTAACCTGAACCACGTGTTCCTAGGGGTACCAGGACAAGTCTAACAGCTTCTTGTTCCTAACAATGGTGAGCCAAAACGGTAGTGACTCTCGACTAGAGAAATGTGAAGATTTTGGAAAACAACTTTTTTTTAAAAGCCTGGGGCCTGACAGCTGAGTGGACAGCACTCGGGATTCGTAGTCCTAAGGTTCCGGGTTCGCAATGTTAGGCTGTGCAGTGGATAGAGTTAGGAAGAGGCATGAGCGTGTTCTCCCAAGCGCTCAGACGGTGGAGCGTTGCACGGGGCTCGGTGTTTATATCGTAGAACAAGGTACAAAATAACATTCGGAGAACAAAATAGTTTATTAGATTCTGTTCTTTAACACGTGAGAGGCTACAAGCACACCTGGAGGTACTCTTACCTATCATCAGCCTCAGAGATGATTCACACTGTTTATATATTATTTGATATATTTTATTTTTGAGCACATTATATGCTACATTAATCTTTGTGCAATAAAGCACACACACACACACACATACACACACACACACACACACACACACACACACACACACACACACACACACACACACACACACACACACACACACACACACACAGGGATTTATTAGAATACAATATCCAAGTGCAAAATGTTTCAGAGGAATGCAATGAGGCAGACTCCTGACCCGTCTATGACAATCCCTTAACACCCTGCAAAGTTTAATGAGGCTTGACCAAAGCACGTGCGCGCGCGTGTACTCACCTAGTTGTGCTTGCGGGGGGTTGGGCTTCGGCTCTTTGTCAGAGTAGACAAAGACTTTGTCTTTGGTCCCGCCTCTCAACCGTCAATCTACTGGTGTACAGATTCCTGAGCTTCTCGAGCTATATCATATCTACATTTGAAACTGTGTTTGGAGTCAGCCTCCACCACATCACTTCCTAATGCATTCCATTTACTAGCTACTCTGACACTGAAAAAGTTCTTTCTAACGTCTCTGTGGCTCATTTTTGGTGCTCAGCTTCCACCTGTGTCTACCTTGTCTACCCTGTCAAATCCCCCTCAGGATTTTGTATGTGGTTATCATGTGTCCCCGAGATCTTCTAATAACTACTGAGTGTGTGTGTGTGTGTGTGTGTGTGTGTGTGTGTGTGTGTGTGTGTGTGTGTGTGTGTGTGTGTGTGTGTGTGTGTGTGTGTGTTTATAGAATTTTTAAATACTATACAGGTATTTATTTTTCACATACAGAGGAAAAAATACCATTATGTAATTCAAACATTTGAGGTTCTTCAGATTTTCCCAGTTTATATAAACTTAATCACTTCAATGTTTTAATGATTAACATTAATTAATAAACACATAAACAAACTAATTAATAAATGACTTGGATAAATGGAATGAATACATAAATAAATTGAATTGAACGCGATTGGTAATATGATGAAAACTAATCCAGACCAAATACAATTTGCCTGAATTAGGCAAAATTAGACAGAATACATTACTCCGCCTCTGTCTAATTTACAGAGGGTAATATACACTCATTATTTTAGACAGTATTTAGACAAGGTTTTTCGACACTTAAAACGGCAGTCATGCAACTGTGGCAAGAGACCCTCCTTA